GCACACGCCGACAATCAAAAAGCGACATGATAAAGTTGGTTGCAAAGCGACAACTTCACGGTATTACCATGGCATCCAATAATACATTAACCTATTATTCCAAGTTATTTTACTTTTGTTACATTCTAAAGTACTACAATATCTTAAGTGCGTACGAACGTAACTACAAACTATCCTTTTTTTTTATAAAACAGTGTCAATATCAAATACATAATTCGTAATAAACATATTCAAATACTTGGTAGATTCTTTAGTTTAAGAACACTCATGAAATAAAAACTTGTAAGCGAAAAACTAGAAATAAGGCAGCTGAAAAAAGAAATTAACGTCACACAAGCCAGAGATGTCGGTAATAATTATTGGAGTTAACTTTTACCCTAAACAAGGCTAATTGATCGATGGAAACGTGCTGTATTTAGAATTTTGTGATAAAGTTTCACGTTAAAATGAAAACTAATTTTATAATAGCAACCTTTACGGTTGGGTTACGGACAGTCCTTTCAGAGCTGTAAAAGCATTAAATATTTTATTTCTAATTGCAATATAGCCATTTCGTTTTTTAAATAATCACAACATGTGGTGCACACTGCATAATATTCAATTGAGATAAATCGTATACTGCCCGAAACTGAGTTAAAAAGAGTTTTGATGTCAAAATCTCAAAATTTAATACGTTTTAACCCTTCCATTCATGGTCATTGAGACTGGAATATACGAGTTTTAAAAAGTCAAAGTATAAAACAGTTTAAATAAAAAAATACAGGTAAAAGAGATAGAAATTCGTAGTACTAAAAAACACTCCCTTTTTCATTATAAGAACCTAAGGGAAAAATGGAAATTTCGGATTTTAATGAAACTACATAGTTTAACCATAATTGTTTTACTAACAGCCACGAATGTTCCTGACCGAAAAAAAGCAGGAAAGCAAAAAAAACTAATTCTATATTATATCTGTTCTACGACGGCGGTCGTTAGCTAGTATGTACGATAATAACAATCTATCGATCTATGCATATTAACTATGAACCCCTTGATTTGACTGATTTTACTAAAATGTTCAAATAACCTTCAGATTAACCTAGTGGTGAAGTTGAACAAAGTATATTGTTGAATAAAGTATATTTGCATAACAACGGGTCCTAAGTATTTTATTATAAATTATGTTCGCAATAAAATTCCTTATTTTAATGTATTTTTCAAAATAATGAATTTACTTTTATCTTTTTAATCTTTCCAATTTTAATCTTTGGAAGCAGGGTAATTTGTGGAAAAAGTTATGACTCGTTAACATGTAAATTTATAAACACGAAACGGTTTATGGATCCTTAGCAAGACTGCACATTAATAGCGAACAAACAATTTTAAATGTTAGTACTTTTTTTATTTTCCTATATAAAAACTCTTATCTATACTATCTTGCTTGGTAATCACACCAAACGATTATGGGACTGTTTTTCAATGCTACGACGGTTGTAACAAACGTCGTTATCCTACATTTTAAGGTCAACAAACTTCGAGACGACTAAGTCGCGACTACTTGGCGACGATGGCGACCCGCCGGCTGTCTTTAAGCCATTACTCGATCAAGGCACATTCTATTCGCAAAAAATGTAACACTTGATTAAGTTGTGCTCCCCGCATATAATGTATAAATACTGTACAATACTGAGAGACTCCCGACAAGTAAATAAAATGTATCAAACTACCAACATTTAATGGAATACAATGTGTGTTTTTGAACTTAAAGACACAACAAGCCTTTTTGTAACTTCCTGCTATCCCGAAGCATCATTCGGTAGAATTACAACCCCACAGAAGACCGTCGTAAAGTGATAATATGTTACTTTTACGTTTGTACAACCGTGCCTATTCTGAAGGTTGACAAAGCAAATACCAAAGCTGTTGCTTTCATCAATTATTAAAAAATAAATAATAGACAGCTAATACGGAATACCCTAAAGATTATGTAGAATGAGATAGCAAAGCAGTGGGCAGCAAATCTAATTAAAAAAGGCGATGAAGTTAACAATTATGTTTAGCGTACAATACCATAACTACATAATATAAAACAAAGTCATGCCGCTGTCTGTCTGTCCCTGTGTATGCTTAAATCTTTAAAACTACACTACGCAACTGATCTTGATGCTGTTTATTTTTTACTAGATAGAGTGATTCAAGAAGCCGGCGCGTGTCACTAGTAACATTATATATCACAAATTGTAAATACATTTTAGATTCATTACGTCTTCATTAGCTAGTAGTTATCTGTGACAAAGTAAACATCGTGACATTTTATTGCGTATAGGGAATACCAAAACGCTACTTCTCTAAATTACGCTCTCGTGAATTCCCACAAGATGAACTAGATGCCCGACACGTAATACGACAACATTCGTTTGCGCTAAACGCACTGGGGCAAGAACGAAAGGAACGTAATTGGAGCCTAATATACTGGGATTTTCAGATTTTACATCCTCACCGATATTGTAACTACTCCAATGTCACATTGGAGTAGTTACAATATTACATGAGCAAATCCGAAACCACTTATCTCGTACTATCTAATCGCACGTACGATTCAGATGTAGAACCAGGTAAACAGATGTTAGACAGTCTAAGTCAGAACTAGACAGTCATAGATTAATAGCCGGTTTCAAAATTCTATCTACAGATCGATTTCGTTACTGGAGATAGAATTTTGACGTAAGTAATATGGAACTAATCTCAAATACCTATCGCTACTAACCAAATCTATCTGTAGATAGAATATTGAGACCGGTCGTGTCGTAAGAGATCTCTGATGTGTGATCTTATTAAGTACCTTTGAACATGCTATTATAATAATGTGGACGTATAACCTTTAACTAGTGACGTGTAGTCTCACAGGCGTCGCGTGTTTTGTAAATTCTTAGGATTAACCACTTCCCCACACTTGCCACGACCCAGCGTCTCAGTAGCTTTTGTTTTGGTTCTAAAACGACCACCAAAGAAGGCAGAAGCGTTATCGGTTGTTTTACACGTAAGTAATACGATTTAGAAAATCGACCGTAGCCTGTGAGGCTACATGTCCCTAGTTGTCATACAAATACTTTTACGAACTTCTTTTTAATTTTTAGTAAGAAATGGCAGAAAACGCTAGGAAACTTCAACTCCTGCCCACGAATTCATCGAAAATAAAATAATACGAACAATTGAAGGTGCTTCCTTCATGTAGAACTGTGACTCCCAAACCCGTGGGTTCTGGCTAGCCCACCGGTTCTGCGTCAGATGAAGCTTTAATAGTCTCGGGACTGAAAGCAAAAACATCAGTTAATACAAGATACAAGAACTGTGGTGACTGCTGATAATTGGTTCTCTTCTATAAAACTAATTGATGAGCTGGCAAAGCATAAGCTTACTTATGTGGGTACTATGAAAAAAATAAAAAATAAATCATTGGCCCGTTCTCTAGTGCTACCCCAAATCCAAAGACGTGTTGTGTGCAGCCAATTACCAAGGGAGTTACGGCTGGTTATAAAGCGAGTTCTGGGTGACGATATGGTTGTAGATGTCCAAAATCTGCAAAATCCTGAATCAAGTCAAGGCAAGCGAAGGACATACAGTGTTTTGACCGCCCAAACTACACAGAATGCCAGTGTACACGTGTGTCGGGTGTTACAATCCAGTATGGTTGCAATGTTCTCGCCCAGTGTGAGAAAATTGCTAATTTTATGCTAAATTGAGTGGGTGTCAGAATTTTTATTTTTAGTTTTCAGAAGTAGCTTTTATGTTGTTTTGTTTTTTTTATTATTAGATTTTAAGCAAAAATGGTGAAATTTGTTTTTTTTTTTTGAATTCATAGAATTTATATAAAGTCTATTAAACTGTTAAAAAAGGATCTCATGTCAATTAAGCCAAAAATGACGACTAATTGATAATTATAGTTTTTATTCTAAGTAATTATAAAAAAATGATTGAAATCGTTTATATTTGTTTTATTGTATACCAACCAATAGTTAAATACAAACACAATTTTAAATCATCCAAATGCATTTTTGTCAAATTTTTTATTTGGAAGTAGTAGCCTGTTAGACGTCATGTCCCTTAGAGTGTTATAAATTTGTCATGTCCTAGTTAAAGGATAAAGAAATAAAAACATGTTGAAAAGTAAAAAGGAACGTTATTTATTTTCACCTTTAGAACAAATATTGTGTGTACCAATATTTTGAACCACTGTCGTGTAAAATTCAACACAATAATTTAGCACCACCCATAGTAAATGTTAATAAATATGTATGTGGCATCCATAATCCACTTTAAACTCAGCGGTGGATGCAAATTTTATTTTTTATCAACGATGTAGACGGAAATTGGTTAGTTATATAAATATTAAAATTAGAAGGTAATTATTAGTAAAATGACTGGAAAAGAAAACAAATTCCGTGGTTTTTATTTAAAAATATGCCTTATCATACTTGTTTTATATTTTTCATGTTAAAATGAATCGTAAAAAAGTTGTTGACGAAAAGTTCGCCGCGATATCATGATGTGGGTCGTATTAAAATTGTGGAACATTAATGACCCGTAATTTTGCACGCTTCGCGCGTATTTACATAAAACGTTGGAAATATTCAAAACTTTGATCCGTCCACGGAAGCGGCATATACACTTATCCTTCAGATTATGCATATTTGACAGCGACTCGTCCGAAACGGGCACCGCTCTTCGGTTAGCCGCCTTTTGTCTTATTTTATTATGCAATCATTCGGGCCCGGCTGCAAGGAGTCGCGAGACGGTATGTCTGCCTGTTCCCGGTTCCTTCGCCCTTGTTTATCTGGCTGGGGTAGTTAGCGCGGCGGCGTGGCGCCCCGCGGCAGTGCCTCCGCAGCCTGCCCGGCGATGGCACGCGCGTCCGTCGCCTCGACGAGTTCGCACGCACGCGCCCGCGTCAGCCGACGTTGGTGAACTGCGCGCCCAAATAGTCCTGCATTCAAGTCCACTTCACACGCGAACGCCACAAAATGACTCCTTTTCTACGTGTGTATTGTGTTATATGGATAGCGCTGCTGACGGCCTGCTGCAGCACGAAAGGTGAGTGCCGAGAGGAATTACCATTTTTATTGAGCTCGTCGACAGCCGGCGAAAAGTTTGTTAAAAGTATCAAATTTTGTTTCGCAATTTCTGCGATTTCTACGACTTTGCAAATTTTTAAGAAGCCAAATAATCCTTTATTGGCTTAGAAACTCACGAAGTTTACAGTTAAATACTTGTAAACGATTATTTATTCATTCTATGCAACTAATTTATGTTCGAAAAAGGTACCTTTTCCAATTTGAATTTTTATGTACAGCACCGAATTAAACGCTAAATATTATCGCATATTATAAAATAATACAATGTTATTTTTTCATGTTATAATTATATACTATAGAAAAGAGAAAGTTGTATTGTATCTGTTAAATGAAATGATGATGTTATATTAGAACAATACAACTTTTTGCAGTTGCTAAGGATAAGATTTATTCATTGGGGCTAAAGATAAGAAGCACTCGCTTTTCTGGAACGTAATTCAGTTAACAAGGGGAAGAATCACAAACAAAACGGACAGGGGTCGCTCCAGTCCGTGACTCATCCACGGATATCCGTAGGCATCTTAGGATGCTGAGACAGTTATGGATGACTTCCATTATAGTATTAAATTAAATTTGAAACGAACTTGTGTGGTGCGTGTTAGTTATGAATGATCGCGCGTAAAATAAATGAGTTGCCCATAAGACACGCACTTGTTAAGATAAGTTTAAATTAATGTATTTAATTAATTACGAGTGATTTTAAATACTTATCATTTTTATACAACTTTATTTATGTCTATAATTTAATAAAAAAGATGGATAAACTAAAAAGCCTTCCTGTATTGTTATATATTGATTTTCGTTTTCTTCGAATATTCTCGTTATTTGCAAAACATAGCAAGAACAACAATTATAGTTTACATATATAGAATATTGCTCTAATGATAACTGAGTTTGAGTTCACTTAGGTCAGTATAATTATAATTATTCTCGCCGGGGAACTGAGACTTAGATAATAATTATTTTCCGTTTCCACTGCTGATGTTTCCAATGCATGTCAATGTACCAAAATATCACATTTTTTGAATAAGAATTAACTTTCATTAAAACTATTACATGAGTAGATAACATAGAAAACAACAACTTTAAATGAACTATAAAAAAGAAAATATAATTTCTAAAATTGTACTAAATCATACACTAACCCAACGTGGGTACGCAACAAAGTTATGCCGTATTAGGTAATATCCACAAATGTGGAGAGATTTCATTACTTTATAACATTGCTATATTACATTATTACATTGCTAATATTAAAAAAGAAGTTCAAGAAGTGATTTATAATAAGACCAATAAATAATAACTCAAGTTGTGTACGAAACATTAAAACAATAACTTAAACAACAGTCAACACAAAGAGTACTTTTTATAAAGTATACGAGCCGTTAAAAGTTTTTCTCAGGATCGAATATGCTATCTTATTCTTGTCATTCGTTTTCCTATTCATGAAATGCAAAAGTACAATCACTTCCACCATCGATTCTAAGTCAGTCTTATATGAGGCCGTGGACGTCCTTGCACGAATCTGCCAATTTTTGCAACAGAGCAAGCTGCTGCGTAGCTTAACTACGTCTTAAGGTAAAATCAATTAAAGCGCTGTGCAAAGTCATCACCTGGACCACGGCGCCATTATCAAGTAACGGATTATTGGATCCAGGTGACAAGTCACTAGGGTAAGCGAACATTGTATTAATGGTATTAAATAAATCATAAATTAAATTTAACTATAACTTTTATTTATATCTTCGTCAAATGAGATTTTTTTTTCATTTGTAATTGATTACTACAAAAATATAGTATAAAAAAATGTATTACAGTACCATATTATGGTGATATTTCGATATTGGTGGGCTTTTAAGACAGGAAAGGAAGGAAGGACTATCTACTCTTGAACATAAAATACTTCAACAAAGAATGAAAGTTGATCTACCTTTGTGGTTTGATTTTTATCATATCTTTACAGAAAATTAAAGTAAAAAAAAATGTTTGATGGCGTGGCTACGAGTTGACATAGCCTATGCAGATATGGTAAATACCTATTTAAGTTTAGTTTTGGATAATCTGTAGCCTTGTATCAAAAATAGTAAAAATGCTTAAAGTAACAGCCTATAAGTGTCCCACTGCAGGGCAAAGGCCTCCTCTGTAAAGAGGTTATCAGGGCATAGTCCACCACGCGACCCGAATTGGCGGACTTCATATATTTTCGAAATATTTTTTAAATTATTATTTCGAAAATATACAGGTTTCCTCACGATCACCGTCGAGCACGTGATAATTCAGCACTTAAAAGTAACAATTTCATTGGGGCTGGCACCGGGGATCGATCTCAGGTTGCTCGAGTAAATGTAATTAAAAGCGACCGCCCGGACACTGAGCTGTCACGACTGCATAATGCTATTTAATTCTTATTGAAGTTATACTTCTTTTGGCGCGTTCGGAAAAATTATGAGAATTAAATAGTTATTGATGCGCGCACACCGACAGGAAATAAGCGACATGATGAAGTTACTTGCAATGCACCCAATTTTACGGTATTACCACGACAACCAATAACAACTTTTTGACATCACTACATAGTATAAAACAAAGTCGTTCCGATGTCTGTGCCTATGTATGCTTAGATTTTTAAAACTATGCAATCTTGATGCAGTTTTTTTATTAGATAGAGTGATTCAAGAGGAAGGTTTATATGTATTACATTGCACCCGTGCGAAGCCGGGGCGGGTTGCTAGTTTACCTATAATTACAAGTTATTTAATTAAACCGATATCAATTGCATTTAACTACTTCTCTTTAATGTTCAGAAACAAAGGGAACTGGATATAGAAGATAAATTTTTAGTTACTTTTCTTTTATACGCTAAAGAAGTGTAACTTCTTATGGGCATACACAGAAACGCGGACATAGGTAACACATATTAAGCACTTTTTGCTATGAAAAGTTGTCATGAAAGCAGGTGGTGCACCTGATGTTAAGGAAATACCACCGTCCATAGACAATCTTGAAAAAATATTTTTGTGGTAGGGCCACGCAACAGTGTTAACTGTTGCACCAATGGGCATGTCCGTCCGGGTAAGTACCACGAACTCATAGAAGACCGGTTTAAAGTAGAAGTGCAACATTTTTGCGTTTCTTCTGGTGAGTGAGGTAGCCGGAGCCCACTTTATATAAGGTGGCAACGCATTTGCAACCTTACGGATGTTTTCAAATGTCCATGGGAGGCGGTTATCCCTTAACATCAGGTGAACCGCCTGCACGTTTGCCGCTTTCTCACATAAAAGAAAAAAGAAAATTTGGTCCTGGCTTAATTAGCTGGGCCACTCACGAGACGTAACGCAAAACTATAATTCTTCCACTACACACCGGTCATTTGTGAGGCCGTGCTGAGCCTGCTCATTTATGCAACAGCGGAAGCTGTTGCGTGGCCCTACCACTTCTCTTAGTAACAGATAATAATAATACTAATAATAAATAATGATTATGAATAATATGAATAATATGTGTATCGATGAGGCTGGCATGAAACAGTCAGTTCGTGACGTGTTTTATGCACACCTGAAAAAGGTGTTTAATAGCCATTTGTCAGGCGTGAACAAGGCACGTGCTTTTAAAGGCTGGATCATGCCAGTCCTCATGTATACCTTTGGCATACTCAGGTGGACTCAAACTGAGCTCAACGCCCTGGACCGAAAAGTCCGCACAACTATGACGTCCCACAGAATGCATCATCCGAGATCGTCAGTGATGAGGCTGTACCTTCCGCGGAAGCATAGCGGGAGGGGCTTTTTAAGCGCCCTCGCCATGCACAATCGCGAGGTGTGCAGCCTCCGTAACTACTTTCTGGCGAGATCGGATGAGTCAATCTACACGGACGTCATTAGTTGTGATAAAGGACTTACCCCTCTATCCTTAGCCAACGAGCATTGGCAGGACCCGGGAGTACTTAGCGATTCCGACCGAGAGGCCGTATGGAAGGAGAAAGAGCTCCACGGGAGGTTCTACAAGGCTCTACACGAGCCTTTCGTAGATACTGTTGCCTCCCTTAACTGGCTACGTTTCAGTGACCTCTTTGGGGAAACCGAAGGTTTTGTCTGTGCGATACAGGATCAGGTTATTAAGACGAACAACTATCGGAGATACATCCTAAAGGATGGCACCGACGACATCTGTCAAGCTTGTCGCCATCCCGGGGAGTCGCTTCGGCATGTTATCTCCGGTTGTTCCATGCTTTCTAACTCTGAGTATCTGCATAGACACAACCTAGTAGCCAGAATCCTACACCAGGAGCTCGCTCTGAAATACGGCCTCATGGAACGGAAACTGCCGTACTATAAGTACTCTCCGGAGGCCGTGCTCGAAAATGACCGCGCCAGGCTCTATTGGGACCAGTCCATCATCACGGACAGGACGATTGTCGCGAACAAACCTGATATCGTGTTGATGGATCGGGCACAGTCACGGGTATTTTTGGTCGACATTACCATTCCATATGACGAGAACCTCGTGAAAGTGGAAACAGATAAGAAGACGAAGTATCTGGACCTGGCTCACGAGGTGACCGACATGTGTGTCGACAGGGGTGGTGTGCCGACCGAAATTATCCCTATAGTCGTGTCTGCGAATGGGTTGATCCCAGTCAGGCTCTCCGGACATCTGAGGCGACTGGGACTCCGGGACGGAACGCTCCAAGCTCTAATGCAGAAAGCGGTGCTCCTCGATACCACCCGCATCGTCCGCCGGTTTCTCTCACCCAACCAGACGAGAAAACAAATAAATATCCCCAAATAATGATTATATCTTATCCTTTAAACGAGCAATTCTTGTATGTATATATAATCGGAATCTCGGAAACGGCGATCAGCGATTTTCATGAAATTTAGTATGTGCGTAGATTCGGGGGCGAAAAATCGATCTAGGTAGGTTTCATTTTTATAAAATGTCCTTTTATCCCTGTTTTCA